TCACCTTCTTCTTCCCTCTCGCGCTTCTTCTTCGGAGCCGCAGCTTTGAAGAAGTTCCGAATGTCGGAAGACATCGCGAATCAAATCGAATCGAAACGCAAGCGCTTCCCGAACACGATCACGAACACGAACACGAACACGAACACGAACACGATCCCTCCTCCCCAAGGCAACGCAGCGAGGAATGGAATGGAATGGAACGGAACGGAACGGAATATGGATCTCTCGAAAAGGAGAAGAGGAGGATCAAGTGGCGTGACGTTGCGCTCCCTCCCTCGCTCGCTCTTCTTTCTCGTCCTCCTCGTCCTCGTCCTCGTCGTCAGTCGTCGGTTGTTTCTCAAGCGAAGCGATCGGTCGATCGATCGGGATGAAATGGCGGGAAAGGAGAGGAGGAAGAGGAGGAAGAGGAAGAGGAAGAGGAGGGAGGGGAGGGAGGATTGGGAGGATTGGGAGGAGGGCTTTGTGTCTTGCATGGTCTCTTCCACTGGATCTTGCTCCTTCCACTGGATCTTGCCCCTTGTACTTCCACCTGCTCTGCTCCTTCCAAAGAGAAGACTCCTTTGATGGACGAAGGAGGAGGAGGAGGAGGAGGAGGAGGAGGAGGGATCCATCCATCCATGCGCACACCGGATTGGATTGGATGAATGGATCTTGCGTAAAGAGGCGAACGTCCACTTCCATCTTGCTTTGTCTCGGTTCGTGTCCAACGTACCAAGAGGACAGATTAGCCAAGCAAAAGCAAAGCAAGATAAAATAAATATAGTTTTCATTTTATTCGGAATCGGTGTCCGTCTCCAAACCGATCATGTCCTGTGTCTTTAAGCTGTTTTGGCGTCGAGGTGCGGTGGCGTCCTCAGCCTCAGGCTCTCAGCGCCCACCACATTCAACGTGGAATATTCTGCGGAACGACGAGTCCGGAGGCTGAGAAGCCTACCAGCCCTTGGAATCCGTCACAAGTAGGCCAGAGGGGCAAAGAGTGACGGTGCACCAGGGGTCTCCCTCTCTCTCTCTCTCTCTCTCTCTCTCCCTCTTCCTTGCCTGCATCCCTTTGTGTGATGTGTGGGGCGCCATGGGGAAACCCGGGGCGAGCGCCCCATTGCGTCCAAGAAAGTAAATGCACAAAAATGTTAGATTCCAATGCAATAACGGCGTCGTGATCTAGGGGTTATGATTGAGGACTCTGAATCCTCCAGCCCGGGTTCGATTCCCGGCGATGCCTCAGCACTTTTTTTTTTTGTCCCTCCTCCTCCTCTCCTCCTCCTCCTCTGCTGCTCCAGCTTGGCCAAGACGATGACGATGGTGGACGCAGGGCGCCAGGAATGCCATGACCACGACCAGGAAAGGAAGGAGGAGGGACCTTGAGCCACCTCGAGCCTCGAGAGAACCTCTGGAAACTCCCACAAAACTTTTGGAAACTCCCACAAACCTCTGCTTTGGAAACTCCCACAAACCTCTGCTTCCTTTACCAATGCCCCTGGAGGAAGGGATGACCACTGGACACCGTCCGTGACGAGGCTTCAGGCAGCGATGCTTGCGTCAATCATCGGAACTTCTGGGTAACATTACAAGAAAAGGTTGGTCCAGCAGCAGACAGCAGCAGCCTGCTTGGCCTTTAGTTGGCTTAATGGGCCAACTCAATCTCGTGGCTTCCGCCTTGGAGGAAAACTTCTCCGCCGGGGTTCCTCTCCTCTGTGACCCACTCCACGTCCTCGGAGGTGATGACGAAGGTGTCTGTGAACTTGGAGATGCCCTTGAAAGTCATGCAGCCTCGCGGAGTCGCTTGGAGGTCGCTGGGCCAGTGCTTGAGGTCGCCGGGATCCAGAGAAGCCAAAACTTCACCCCCCTTGGCGCGCTGCGGAGCGAGGGAGACAAAGGCAAGGAAGAGGAAAGGGAAATGGGTGATGGTCAGAGCGAGTCTCTCTCTCTCTTCTCTCTCTCTCTCTCTCGCTGCAATCTCTCTCTGTCTCTCTCACCTTTGCAACCCTCGCCGCGAGGTTGACGACCTGACCAAAGTAGTCCTGGCGACCGGTCCTCGTGTGAGGCTTTCCGTACGCGGGAACGCCAGAGGCAATGCCCATGCTCACGCTGCCGCTGGACCTCTGGGAGAGAGCCCGCTGCGCGTTGCAGCACCACCTCGCTGCCTCGTGGACTCCCTCAAAGGCGATCATGAAGTTCCCCTCGCCAACCATTTGGCACTCGTAACCCCCGCCGGACCGCTCCAGGGTCTCCCTGGCGATGCCGGACCACTGCGTGACCCAATCTGGGCACCTGGCGGAGTCCTGAGGCGATGCTGTGCCGCACACGAAAGTGAAGACGAAGGCCACCCTGCGCGTTGGATCAGGCGCCTTGAAGGCCCCCCCTCTGACGCCCGGGAGCGGCTCCCTCGACTTCCACCTGTCCGACAGGCAACTCGGAAGGACGCCGTACAAGCTGCACTCCTCGCCCCCTGAGGTGGTGAGGCCGTAATCCACGAGGCAGGGCCTGGCAGGCCCGCCGTGGCGGGGCAGAACCTCCCAGACATCGCTCCCGCTGGGTTGGCAGACGACAGAGGTGCCCCCCTTGGCCAGTCTGGCGACCTCCTGCGCGCGGGAGCAGCCCCTGTAAACGATGTTTGGTGCTAGCCCGCTGCTGAGGTCGCCGCAAAAAGCTTGCAAGCTCGACAGGCTCCTCGTGACGTGTGGGTACCCCTTCCCATCAATCCCAAGGGCGGTCTCGTACTTGTCCACCAGGACCCCATTCTTCTCGATGACCAGCGTCCTCCTGAAGAGGTAGGCCGGGTCCAGCCTCGTGTCGGAGAACATCCTGTGAAGCCCGCCAGGAAAGTCCGCAATGAGGGGATACGGCAGCTGAAGGTTGGAGGAGAAGGACTCCTGCTTGCCTTGGCCGTCCAGGGATATGCCGATCACCTCCGCGCCGGATGCGGTGAAGAGGTGGTAAAAGTCTCGAAAGTACTTTGCCTCCATGGCGCAGCCTCCGGTCCTGGTGCTGAAGAAGAAGAAGAGCACGAGGTGCTTTTTGCCCAAGTAGTTGGCCGGGCAAACCTTTGCGCCCTGGTACTGGGAGCAGCTGGTGCCCTCGTACGTGAGGCTCCAGGAGGGGTGCTTGGCGACGGATTCCCCCACATCGATCCGGCTGCCGGTGGACGGCCTCAGCATGGAGAACAGCAGGGACTTGAGGAAGCCCCCCTCCCGCAAGTCCATCTTCGTCGGGGTCTGCAATCTCGAGGCTTGGCGGCTCGACCCAAAGCTGTCATTCTGCGGAGACCCCGTGGGCGAGGTGCTCCCCCCCTCGCTCCACCCCTCGCAGACCCCAATGGCCAGCTCCATCTTCTCGGTCGAGGGGGTCAGCAGGAGGCCGATCTGGGTCGCCATGGTGAACTTGACCGCCACGTCCCACGTCTTGAAAACGATGACGGGGCACTTCCAGGGCTGGACCTTCAAGGCATTCGAGTGGCACACGGGAACCTCGTAACCGCCGAACATCTGGATCCAGGACCGCAGCTGCAGCTGGAGCAGATTCCTGTCCATGACATTCTTCGTGCCGCCCCGAAAGTCCAGAGCCACGAGGCACACGTCCCCCACCGGGGCCTTGATGGTGTTGATCGTGGGCTGGGAGACCGAGGGCAGCCGGAGCGCCGGGTAACCCCTGAAGGAGAGCGGCCCCCGGGAGGGCATCGCCTGGAACAGGTGCACGGCCGGTTCGCTCCCAAGGCTGAAGCACCCCAAGTGCGACAGGATCATGTGGAAGACGGAGGCCTCCGACCTGGCCTTCTCCACCGCGCTCTGCGTGAGCAAGATCTGGCCCCCGCTGCAGCACGCCTCCACCTCCGCGGCGAGCTTGAACGCCTGGCCCGAGAACTGGACCGCTCCAGTGATTCTGCTCCTTTCCATGGTGTACTCGGCCTCGGTGTGGGCGGCGTGGATTCCCATTCTCACCCTCGGGCCCCGCCACACGACGACCTCCTCCTTGCCCTTGCCCTTGCAGTGCCGCTTCTGCAGCAGGGAGGTGATCCCCTTCAAGCCCGGGAGGGCCAAGACCTCTGCGGGCCAATCGTGCTTGAGGAGGTCGGACTGCACCCTCTCGCAGAACAGGACGGCCTGGGTGGCCCGCTCGAAAGCACAGTGGAACGAGTCCCCCTCCGTCTCGATCTCGTAGCCGCTGAACTCGTCGAGGGCGTCCCGCATGACGTGGTCGTGGACCTCCTGAATCTCCCGGAACGCCTGCTGGTCCAGGTCCGAGTACCTCGTGCTGTTCTCGATGTCCGTGAAGACGAACACGATGCCCCTGCTCCTGAACTTCTCGCTGAGGCTCCGCGGCGTCGTCGCGGCCAAGGGGGACGGGAACATCAAGTCCATGGTCCTCTGGCCCCTGGTGTTGTTCGAGGTCAGCTGCTCCAAGCTCACCTCTAGCAGCTGCTGGAACTCCGCCCTCTCCAGCATCCTCTGCCTCCTCGCCCTGCGCCTCCGGTGCACCCACCACGAGAGCGGAACCCCGAGGCCGACCAGGACGGCCACGACGACGCCAAGCGTGATGAACACGACCTCCAAGTCAAGCTTCACGCTTCCGGAGTCCCCGAACCCGCTCCCTCCGGCATCCACCAGGATGTCGAGGCACCTGGTGCCATCTGGTGGCCGCACGCCCACCGCCTCCTCGCAGGCGCACGCCACCCACTCGCACGACCCCGAGGAGGAGTTGCTGGGTGTCAGCTCCTCCTCCACGAGAGCGAAGAAGGTGCCGTAGCAAGAGCTGGATGTCGAGGGCGAGGGCGAGGGCGAGCACACCAACTCGAGCTCCGCCCTGAGGTCCTCCAGCGCTTGAACCTCCGAAGGTTCCATGACAATGAATCGATGTGAAGGACGAAGAAGAAGGACACCTTGTCGAGGACACCACCTTGTCGCTCTCGCCGATCGGCGCCCCGTGCGTTTCGAAAAACACCTGAGTTGAAAGCTATATGAAGGAATTCGATGTTAACCTCACACAGTATTCTCTACTCGGAGGATGGCGGCATGATCTAGGGGTTATGATTGAGGATTCTGATTCCTCCAGCCCGGGTTCGAGTCCCGGTGCTGCCTTTTTTTATTTTTTGTCCGTGAGAGAAATATACGGTGCGCGAAACGTTAGTTAATTGTAACGGCTGATCGTAACGGCCGAGCACGAGGGCGAACACGCGGTGGTCTCATCGCCGACCCACGAGACAGAGAGAGAGAGAGAAACGAAGAGGACGGGAAGGACGGTGTAGGGCAAGGCATCCTCCTCCTTCGATTCTTCCTTCGATTTATTACACTATATGAATGATTACTTGTCGGCGTCCTTCTTCTTCGCGGCCCTCCTGGCCTTCCAGCGGCCAATCCAGCTCTTGGCCTCCTGGACGTTCTTGGAGGTGTCGGCCGCGGTGGTCTCCTCGCCGACCCACTTGAGCTCCTCCACCTCCTCCTCCTTCTCCTCCTCCTTGGCTGCTGCTGGGGCCTCCTCGGTCGCTGGCTTCACCTCGGCTGGGGCCTCCTCCGCCGCGGCCGGGGCCTCCGCGGTAGTGGTGGCGGTGGCCTCCGCCGCCTCCTGGGCTGGCTCCTCCTTCTCCTTCTTCTCCTTCTTCTCCTTCTTGTCGTCCCCGTCCTTCTTGCCTCCGGCTTGCGTGGCGAGCAGGAGGGCGATCACTCCACCTCCCAGGGCGGCTGCGTTCTTGGTGCTGTCCCCGTCGCTCGCCGAGGAGCTGCTGGCCTTCTTAGCCGCCGCGGGCTTCTTGGTGGGCTTGGGAGCCGCGGGCTTCTTGGGCTTCGGGGCCGGGGCCTTGGGCTTGGGCGCGCTCTTGGCCTTGGCGCCCGCCGGGGGCGGAGGCGGGGACGAGGTCGCCGCCGCGGGAACCACCGGGGCGGGGGAGGACGGCGCGGAAGACTTGCTGCTGCGGGACGACCCGGAGGACGCCTGCAGGAAGATGGAGGCCGAGGAAAGGAGGGCGATCCCAGCAACTCCCAAGTAACCCACAATCTGCCCAGACTCGTCATCGATGAGCTTGGGGGTCCTCCTCGTCGTTCCACCCCTCCTCGCCGCAGATGGCGCGGCCTTCCTCGTGACCTTCACGGTCTGCGCCCTCGGCTTTGCTGCCGCAGCCGCGGCCCTCCTCCTCGGCTTGGGCGCAGGCGATGGCCTCCTCGCCTTCACCGTGCCACCCCCCTTGGCCGCTTTCCCCTTCTCCTTCCCTCCGCCCAACGCACTGCTGGCGCCGAGGGCACCGACCACAGCCACCGCACCGAGAGCCTCTGGACCAATGCTTGCTCCCCCTGCCCCTGCCCCTGCCGCTTTCGTCGCCACGGGAGCGGGCGCCACCTTGGCATCCGCTGGAGTCACACTCGGACTCCCACCAACGCTTGCCTTTGTCTTGGTCCCCGTCTTGTTGAAGTCCTTGACCGACACCGTGCCCGTCTTGTTCAAGTATTGCTGGTAAGCATCCACCTCTTCCTTCTTCGCAGCAGAGGCACTTCCTGGCATCATCACAACCATCGCAGCAACACAAGCGGCGGCGCACTTGGTCACCTCATCCACCTCCACCTTGTCCACACCTTCCCTCTTCCCATGACACAAAACATCATGATGAGATCGAACATGATGATGAACAGAGTGTTGCTGATGCTGTTGCTGATGCGGACGGAAACTCTTCCTCGAACCGAGGCCAACACGAACACCCTGCATCGTCCTCGTCGTCGTCGTCGTCGTCGTCGTCGTCGTCGTCGTCGTCGTGGTTGGGTTTGGGTTTGCGTTTGTGTTGCTCCTCGAGCGCCGATCGCGATCTGCTGATTGGTGAAAAATTGGCGGGAGATTATGAAGATCAAACGATCGGCCAATGAGGAGGACGCCAGCTGGAGGGGAAGGGGGAAGGGGAAGTTGGGCGAGAGAAGTCACAACCAGGCAACGGGACCAACGGGGGAAGGACAAGAGGGCGAGTGTCTTGGACTTCTGGGATGCATGTGTTCGCTCCCTCGGCTTGGCTTGGACGTCAATGGGTGCCCGTCAAACGATCTACCATGAAGGGTATTCGTACGTTTGTTCGCTCCCCCCAAAAGCACCACCACTACACGAAAACGAAAACGATGCCGTCTCTGCCCGCTGAAGGGAAGCTCATCCAGCTTGCACAACCATAATCCTTTTCCACCTCCATACAATTACAAGAAAAAAGAAAAGAAAAAAGAGCCTTTGCGATTGGCTTTAGAGCGAGACTCCCCCTCTCCCTCCCCCATCTCCCTCCCCCTCTCTGGCCCAGCAACGCGACGCCAACCTTGGACCGTGACCACAAAGAGGCGTCCTCCTCCTCCTCCTCTCCGTGAAGGAAGGGAAGGAAGGGAAGTCTCGTGTCTCAGTCCAGATCGATGCCGTGGGCGTTGGCGAGGACCCTCCGCTGCTCCAGGATGTCCGGGTCGGCGCCGGCGTCCCTGCTCTGGTCCCGGAAGAGCTCCTCGAACCTCCGGAAGTGCGCCAAGCTCTCCTCCAGCATGTCAAAGCTGTAAAGGGTGATGGCGTAATTCAACTCGAAGAGGTAGTTGCTCTTGAGCGACAGGGCCTTGTTGTAGGCCGCCTTGGCGTTCTCGATGTCCTCCAGCTTGCTCAGGATCACGGCGAGGTACATGTAGCTGCTGGGGTACTCGGGCTTGAGGTTGATGGAGCTCGACATGAAGTGAAAGGCGCTGGCGTGCTGGCCGGTGCTCAGGTGGACCAGGCCAAGGTTGTAATTCACGATCCAATCGAAGGGGTCGATGGCCAGAGCTCGCTTCAGGCAAGCGATGGAAGCGATGTACTTCTGCTTCCCGTAAAAGCACATTCCCACGTTGTTCCACAGCTGAGAGCTCGAGGGGTTCACGACCGCGGCGACCCTGTACTTGAGCAGCGCCGTGTCCAAGTCCGCGTGCTCCTGGATCATGCTGCAGGTGGCCAAGATCGTGCTCGGGTTCTTCGGGTCGATGGAGAGGGCCTTGAGGAGCATCTCGAAGGCCTTGTAATTCTCGTCGCTCCGGAGGTAGGCCAAGCCGCAGCTCATGAGGAGCTCCGGGTTCCCAGGGGACGCCTTGAGGCCATCCAAGTACACCTTCACGGCCTTCTTGTGCTTGTTCATGGCTGAAAACACCCCGCCCAACGCCAAGTACGTCGTGTCGTGGGGATGGATCGCGTTGGCCTTCTTGAAGCACTCCACGGCCTTCTCGTAGTTCCTCGCTTTGGCGTTGCAGATCCCCTCGTCGTGCCACACCTTTACGATTGAGGAGGAGGAGAAGGACGAGGAGGAGAAGGGTCGCGGTGGCGATTCCAAAGCCGCAGACACGTGGGAAGAAGGAAAGCACAGAAAGAGAACCGCGGTCTCTCGTCAGACGCCCCGGCAATGCGTTGTACCACCCGGTGCACCCCTCGTTGCTTACCTCCCAATCATCCGGGTTCATTCGCTTCGCTTCCGTCAGAACTTCCATGCTGGACCGGTACTTGCCCAAAAGCATCAGGCTCCTCCCAACCTGCTTCAAGTTGAGGACGTTCGAGGGATTCAGCGCCGTGGCCTTCTGAAACAGCTGCAGGGACTCTTGGATCTTCCCCTGTCGCCGCCTGATCAGCGCCTTGACGTACAGAGGGTACTCGGCGAGACCCTCGTTGGCGTCCAAGACCTCTTCGATGTGCTGCAAACACGTCTCGAACTCTCTGTTCGTGTACTCCAAATGTATCTTGTGGTTGTCCCTGACGTGCTTGTAGGACCTCTCCCAGGAGTTGTCCCCACTGTAGCACGAGGGGCCCGCCTTGGACGTCATTGCTGTCGTCACAGTCGCTTGAGCCTTCCCGAACTTTGCCTTTCTATATCTATCGTGACCGCCTGTGCCCCCAACCCACCGCCTCCCTCTTCTGTATTATCTTTATCTGCGCTGCTCGTCCTTGCCTACCTCCTTGGCTCCTGACTTGGCATCGATCCCTCAGGGATAGAGGCACTACTCTCTCTCTCTCTCTCTCTCTCTCTGCTCTCCGTCTGCCTCTCACCACCTCCTGGCCTCCGCGGTCTCCTCTCCCTCCCGGCTGGGTCGTGGACCAAGAAGTGAGTGTGACCAAACTCCTCCCCGTCTCTCTCTCTCTCTCTCTCTCTCTCCACCTGGCCTTTCCCCCAGGCTATGGCTATCCACCCACTGCCTTGGCCTTACCCTCCAAGTCCACTAGTGTTCCCCGTCCTCACTCTTCCCTCCTGTCCTTCACCTCCCCCTCCTGAGAGAGTCTATCCAGCAAGTCTGTGACTGCTATGACTCAACTCTCTCTCTCTCTCTCTCCGTGCCTGTCTGTCTGCCTGTGTGTGTGTGTGTCCACCAGGATCCTATCCCTCAGGCCTCCTGGCTCTCTTCCAGGTGGTCCTGTCCTCTCCACTCGCCTTGGCCTCCGCCCTGTCCATCTATCTTCCTCTCCCCTCCTCGGTAATGGCGTAGATTCTTTCAAATCATGTACATTCATCCTTAGTCTTTACACTACATCGTGACCACAGCACTGGCGGAGAGAGAAGGGGAGAGCGGGGAAACCAAGACGAGCAAGCTACGGATTGCGCAAGGGTGAGGCAACTTATCCTAAAGGTGTGAGGTGGAGGGTTTCTTGTGCGTGTCCATTGGCTTTGCCTTTCCTAACGAGGGAGGAGACGAGACGAGACGCTTGCCTGCGTGGTGGAGGGAGTGAGGCCTGGAGGACAACGGGGGGAAGGCCACTGGGGAGGGAGACCAAGGCCAAGGGGGGGGGGGGGACGAGGAGAGTGGGGAGCCAGGGAGAGAGACAAGTCTTCTCGATACGTGGAGGAGGCTTCGGGACTCGGTGGCGATCGAGTGATTATTCCGTGCTGGGGACGAGAGAGGAGCGCCAAGGAGGAGAGGGGCCTGCAGCGAGAGCCAAAGGAAAAAAAAAGACAACGAAGAGGGAGAGAGACAGAGAGGTCGTCTTGATAGGTGGAAGCGAGGCGAGTGTCACGGCAAGCGGATTGGTGCCAAAGATGGGATCTTGGAGCTGGCGGTGACTCGCCCGGCGTTTGAGTGGGTCAGAAAGAGAGTTGAGTAGCGAAGCAACGACGACGACGACGACG